GGCAACAAGATCATCATGACGCCGGACATGTGCATCAGCTACGAGGTGGGTTGGCAACGGCACGGGGCAGGGGAGGTGGGGGCACACTCTGGAAACTGTGCCTGCAGCGTCTTCTGGCAACTTGGGAAACCCCAGGTAGACTTCCCCCCTTCCCCCATGAAGGGGCCACCGGGAAGCCCATCTCTGTCCTAGGAACATGTAATGCTCCCATCTGAGGGCGTTTCCCTCGCAGCTCCTCTGGAAGATCATCCCATTTCCATCAAAATGAGAACCCAGCAGGCTGAGGCATCCTCATGGTCCCCACTTGCACCTCTGGGGAACCTAGACCCCAGATCCCAGGAACCCACCCTGGAGGTGGCAGGGTACTCTTATCTTCCTAGATGAGCTCACCTTCCTAGTCTAGTTAGTGCTCTCTGGCACACCCCTCAGCCCCTGTGCATCTTCCTTTGGTCCCTCTTTGTAAACATGTCTTTGTAGACAAGGATGCTGATGTCTGGAGAGGCTAGTCACCTTGCTTGAGGTCACCCAGCTAGAAAAAGATAGTAGATTTAAACCTAGCAGTCCCTAGACCTGACCGGTTGCGGCCTCTCTGTCATTGTGGTGGTTCTGGTCCCAGGTGGAGCCAATGGAGCACACCAAGAAACTTCTCTACCAGTACGAGACCATGATTCACCTGAAGAATGAAGAAAAGCTGTCCCGACATCAGGCCTGGGAGTCAGAGCTGGAGGTAAGGTCCTCCCAGAGGGTGGGTGTGGCAGGGAGGGAAGGTCTTAGATGTGCATATCCTCCATTATGTGCGATCAAGGTGCTGGAGATCCTGAAGCTTAGGGAAGAGGAGGAAGAGGCCCACACGCTGACGGTCTCCATCTATGACACCAAGCGCAATGAGAAGAGCAAAGAGTATCGGGAGGCCATGGTGAGCCTCCCCGCTCTCCCCGGGTCTCCTTCCCTGGAGCCCAGCCTCCAGGGTCGGGAGCGCACGGGAGCCCTTTGTAAGGGATGATGTCACTGGTGATGTCATATGAGTATTCCTGTTGCCTACCACCTGCCACACGGACCGTGTTGATGGGTCACCCCAGGCAGTGAAGATCTCTGAAGTAGTTTGTAGTTGACCTGCCAAGGCTGGGCTTTGGATTGTTCCTGGATCCATAGGGAAGGGCAACAATGGCCCATGTCTCCAGTTTCTCTGGCTCCTGTGTGCCCCATGTAGGGCTTTCTGGGCAAAAGAGAAAAATGATAGTTTAGCATCATGGCTAACCACCACCATTCACTGACGATCCACCTGCTGTGGATCGTCAGGCCCAGGCTATGTGCTTTCCAGACCTAAGCTGGTCTGTTTTCAGAGGAGGAAACTGAGGCTCAGACTGAGAGATGAATTCATGTCAGAAACAGGAATTACATGTCACCCTTAAACGTGGGTCAAGAGGCGGTCCTTAGGAACTTAGGTCGCACAGGAACCCTATCTGGGACCTGGATTTGTGCTACTGCACCATGGACTCGGCTGCTCGGGAGGTCTCCTGGACATCCTGCTTTCAGCTGGTTCCCTGGCCCACAGGAGCGTGTCCTGCATGAGGAGCACCTGCGGCAAGTGGAGGCCCAGCTGGACTACCTGGCCCCGTTCCTGGCACAGCTCCCTCCGGGCGAGAAGCTAACACGCTGGCAGGCTGTGCGCCTCAAGGACGAGTGTCTCAGCGACTTCAAGCAGCGCCTCATCGACAAGGCTAACCTCATCCAGGCGCGCTTTGAGAAGGTGTGGCCAGGGCCCAAGGCAGGGGAGGTGACCTCACTGTCCTCAGCCAGAAAATGGGTCCTGAAGTCTTTGCTCGGTGCCTCACAGATCTGTGGATGAAGGGTGGATGGATGTGTCTGTAATTGGGGCTTCCAAACACCCACTTTATTATTGGATGGATGAGTTGATGGATGGATGGTAGGTGAATATGTGTGGATAGGCAGGTAGATGGGTAAATGGATGAAGTGGGTGGGTGGGTGTAGTTGGATATGTGGGTAGATGGATGTGGGTGAGGATTAGAGGTGGGATAGGGATGAATGGATGGATGGATGGATGGATGGATGGATGGATGGATGGATGGATGGATGGATGGATGGATGATGAGTGGATGGATGGATTGATGAATGAGTGGGCAGATGGGTAGATAAGATTTGGCAGACAAGGGATAAAGGAATGGATGGGTGCATTTGTGGATATATGCATGGATGGGTGGCACATTCTAACAGCTCCTAGTCCTTGGCCCATTTCTGTGAGATAGGTGAGGTGTGTACCATTCGGTCTCCATGCAGTGCCTTAGTTTTCACAGAGTGCACAGAGCAGAGTTGGGTGGAATTGGACACAACAATTCTTATTTTTGGAGATGAGCTTTTGGGGGCTCTGCTCATGTCAGCAACTTGTCTAGATCATGTAGTTATTTTGTGTGTATAGGTGTTTTGTCTGCACATGTGTATGTACACCATGTGTACTGTACACCTGGTGTCCTCAGAAGCCAGAAGAAGGCATCAATCCCCTGGGACTAGAGTTTCAGATGATTGTGAGCCTCCTTGTGAGTTTTGGGAATCGAACCCCTGTCCTCTGGAGAGCAGTCAGTGCCCTTGTTTTGTTTTTTCAGAGACAGTGTCTCACTCTGTAGCCCCCACTGGCCTGGAACTTGATGTGGAGACCAGATCTCTGTGTTAAATTCACAGAGATCCCTCTGCCCTGCCTAATGAGTACTGGGATGTGCACCACCACACCCAGCTGTTTTGATTTTGTGTCTGAGGTGCTGGGGGTCGAACCTAGGGCCGCACACTTAGCCACATCTCCAGCCCTGACTAGCTGTTTTGTTCCTGTTCTGAGCTCATGCCACAGGCTGTCCTTCGCGAATCATGGCTCCAGTAGTCCCCACCCGAGATGTTTTGTGATCCTCTAACTTTGCCCCTCTCCCTGGGATTGGCAGATGGGGGCGTGTAATCCTCTTGGGGCTGCCTGGTAACCTGTGGGCCTACACCCTGGCTGGGGATCAGTTCACCCCTTCCCCCTGCTCATCTCCCTCCGCCCCCAGGAGACTCAGGAACTGCAGAAGAAGCAGCAGTGGTACCAGGAGAACCAGGTGACCCTGACGTCTGAGGACGAAGACCTGTATCTGAGCTACTGCTCACAGGCCATGTTCCGCATCCGCATCTTGGAACAGCGGCTCAATCGGTAAGGGGCGGAGCCAGGAGGACCCCCGGGAGCGCTCTGAGAGTCCGCACAACCCTCACCTTCTCCTTCCTCCCTCTGCTCAGGCACAAAGAGCTGGCTCCGCTGAAGTACCTGGCGCTGGAGGAAAAGCTCTACAAGGACCCACGCTTGGTAGACTTTGTGAAAGGCTTTGTTTGATGCCCCTCACGGGACCATGGCAGAAGCTGCGGGAGAATGGAGCCCCCCCCACTCTCCAGCCACCGTAATCCCCTACCAGCCTCACTGCCACACCACCTCCCTGTCCCTCAAGGTCTCCCTCAAATAAACACTTCCTATTTACCACTTACACTCCAGGGCTCACACCTCCAGTCCCCACCACCCTCGGTCTTTCCCCGCCATCTTCTCTGCTGGACTAGCAAGTGTTTACACGTCTCCGGATGGTGCCACAGCACAGCCATCTGGTTAGAGCTCAATGTGGTGATGGTGGGCCAGCTCATCAAATGGGAATGGCCTGGCCAAGGAGCACAACCCAGGACCGGCTGGCTTGATGTTAGGGGACAAGGGACTGAATCCAAGTTCCTCTTCCCTTTACCACCTGGGAAACGGGGCTGGCATTGTTTCCTGAAGTCAGTGTTAGAGAGGAGAGAGAGCATGCCTGTAATCCCAGCAGGAGCTGGAGGCAGAAGGATCTGGGTTCAAGGTCTGCCTTGGCTATGTAGGGAATTTGAAGACAGCCTGGGCTACATGAGACTCTGTCTTAAAAAGCAAAAACAAAGTAGAGAAAAACTGGCCTATAATCTCCAGGGCATGACACAGACATGGCAAATGATCTCACAGCAGCTGTGGTTGCCTGCACAAGCCTGGGCCCGTCAATAAACAACCATGGCTCAGGGCGGGCATGGGGGCCGTTCCTCCCTCTTGAACTACTGGTTACTGATGAATTCTGGTGGAGGGGTAGTCATTGTCTTCACTCCAAGGTGAGCCCACCAGATCTCAGTGCATAATTCCAAACCCATGGTTAAACCAGGGGCTCAAGCTACATGTGGTGGCACATGCCTTTAATCCCAGCTCTTGACCTCTGCCAGTTCAAGGCCAGCCTGGTCTACATAGTGAGAGCCTGATCCAGAGAGAGGAGAGATTTGAGGGACAGAAATAGGATGAACTTGAAAGAGCCAAGTATGCCAAATCTTGCCTGGTTCTTAGTTAAGATATATCCACACACACACCCCAAGCCTGTGTGTGTGTGTGTGTGTGTGTGTGTGTGTGTGTGTGTGTGTGTGTGTGTGTGTGTGTGTGAGTCTGTCCATCCATTCCCTACACTATCACCATGCATTCTGCCATGTCATTCTTTGCCTAATTCCTTTGAGTCAGGTTCCTCCTCAGCAGTCCCTAGCAATCCTCCCCACTGGGGTTACACACACAGCCATGCCAGATTTTTATGTGGGTGCTGAGGATTTGAACTCAGGTCCTTATTCTTGGCACTGCAGTTGCTCCTAAGACCGAACCATTTCTCGTTTCTAGTAAGTTTTGATTTGCAGTGCTGTGGTTGAACCTAGTGCCTCCTCCACACTAGTCAAAGCTCTCTACCACCCGAGCCACATTCTCAGTCTTGTTCTACTTAGACGTTATTGTGTGTACTGGGGATGATTGAGGTCATTTTAATATAGTCTACATGTTAGAGGATGAAGTTATTTTAGGGTGGTGACATTGGTCATGTGACTAAGGACCCCTAAAGAGCCTCATGCTCAGTGTTGTCGTGATTGAAATGTCTTGGGATAGGTAATGTTCGAATACTTGTACATAGACAAAGTAAACTAGGCAAAAGGTGTCAAAATCAAGGATTTGACTTTTGTTTCTAATAATAAAAAGTCGAGAAGAACAGCAAGCTACAAAGTTTCGGTTGAACGTTATTCTCCGAATCCAGGTCTCTTAGTAATCCCCCAATTCTACTCAGGGCCGACTTCCCAAAGTACTGACGGCTGGTGGCTGTCTTCTGTCCCTGCAGAAGTTTCGCATTTAGTAGAGACTTGGCACGCCTTGACTTTAAAGGTTCAAATCCTGGGGCCCTCTTCCAGAAGTTCGGTCTTTTCACCACAGCTTCGGTTTCCTCATCCACAAATGGGGAAATCCTACCGCCTAGGGCTGTGTGGGGCAGAACACCAGATGCTGCGGCCGATGAGAGGCGAGCGAGTGAAGGAAGGACCAAGGTTGGAGGATCTTACTGCAATGGGCAGGGACCGAGTTCCTCCTCAGTGAGGGGCACACCCTCATGGTGGGTTATATAGCCGTACCCACTCCTAATCCTAACCTGCCTGACGTGTCACACATCATCTGCCTTTCTCCGGTTCCCTAGTTCGGTGGTTTCCGCCCGCGAGCAGCCACATCTCCCACCGTGACTCGAGGGACGCACTCCTGGGTTCTACACCGACTCCACCTGTAATCAGGGTCTGTTTCTCTCGAGGCCTCCGTCAGGGAACGCCAGCCGGTAGGTGGATCCAAGCAGGACCCAAACCAGACCACGCGGGCAACACCCACAGGCTGAGGGCGGGGGTCCAGGCGGCCCTGTTCAAAGATGGAAGATGTGCGACTTCACGCTGCTCCAGAAGTTCCCTTCCCATTGGATGTCTTGGAATTGGTTCTCCAATAATACTGACGTTGATTGGTGGAGTCAGGGCTATTGCCGAAGTGATTGGTGCAGCGGGCCTCGTGTGCGGCTCGCGGATTTTTCAAACCTAACCGGGTTCCAGGAAGTGAAGGAAAAGGGCGGAAAAAGCTAGCCCGAGTTGGGGCGGGACTAAGGATATAGAAACGCACATTGGTTCCTTCAAGACCTCAGGGAGGCCCGTAGACGCTTCTTTCTCGTGGTTAGTCCGAGTCGGGAAAAGGAGGCAGGTAGTTACGCAAATCGGCAGAAGCGCTTGCTTCTATTGGTCAATCTCGGAGGAAGGCGGAGCGTCCGAGGCGACTGATTGGTGCAAGAAGTGAAGTGGGTGGGACTCTAGACCGGAGGTTTTGTTGTGAGGGTCGGTTGTCAAGCAGCGACCAATCAGGACAGAGGATGGAGGCAAGTGGGGGTCGCGCCTGGAGGGAAGCCTTGGCCTCCCGAGCTCCAGCTGCAGGTAGAGTAGCCCTCGGGGTCTTGGGGGCAAGGGGAAGATGGCCCCGGTCTTGGCCGAGCCTGGAGGGGACAGTCGCGTCGCCGGCAGAGGGCTCTGGGCCAGGGAAGGCTGGAGCCGGTGCCCCTCAAGACGGAGGGGGCGGAGGGTCAGGCGAGGCTGAGAGACCAGTAGCAGATTTGGATGAGCGAGCGGGACGGGTGCGGAGGCCGGAGAGGGAAAGCTAGCCGGAAGCAGAGCGGAGGATGTGCGGAGGACCGTACTGAGCTGGGGCTCCAGGAACGGGGGAGCGAATGAATGGGGGACTCCGGTAGCAGCCGGGAAAGGGGAGTGAAGAGGGTCCGGCGAAGCGTGGCCAACTTAGGGAGCTCAGGGTGTGCCGGAATGAGGAGCACGGGTGAAGGAGGAAGAGATGTGGTGAGAGTGGGAGAGCCGTGGCTGGGGAAGGCTCCGTCCAGGCTGTGGCCTCTTAGAATTGAGGAGTCATTCCGACTCACGCCTGGACCGGAGACCCGATTCCCGGCTGTGTCCTTGAGACTAACGAGAGGTGGGCGTGGTTCCCTTACCAGGAGCTGGGCAAGGAGGGAGCTAGAGGATTGGACCCTCGGAGTCCTCTTGAGAATCACTCCTCCCCGAAGACCTTCACTGTCAGTGTCTCTTCGTTCTCACACTTTCACACTCTCCGTGTGTGTGTGTGTGTGTGTGTGTGTGTGTGTGTGTGTGTGTCTGTGTCTGTGTCTGTGTCTGTGTCTGTGTCTGTGTGTCTGTCTGCCTTTCGGGTGCCTCTCATGGGCCCCTAAACATAGCCTCAGACCCCAGTGCCCCATCCGGCGCATGAGGTGCAAATCTGTGTGAACTGCAGACAGGTGGGCCTCTCCTCCCCCACTGTCTTAAGACAGCCAGCATCCTGGAGCACTGCTTTAGGCTGCTGGGAAGTCAGTCAGTCTTTCTTTCGAACTGACCAAGATCCGCCTGCCTCTGCCTGAGTGCTATTCCGGAGTGCTGGGGTTAAAGTCTGGCCCCACCAGCTACTTAGGGAAGGTCCTTTGTCTCTAAGGTCTTTGGGTTCCAAGACACAGAGGTGTTCCTGGTCAGGTTTTCCGGCCCAGTGTGCACTGCAGCTCCAGGCCCTGGGGGCTTTGGTGGGTCTGTATCAAGTGGCCTTGGCGACCCAGGGAGCTGTAACTCACCTCAAGAACTTGATAACACTCCATCACCTCTGCTTGCATTCTAGCCCAGTGTTGAACTGAGATGGCCCAAGCCTGACATTCCATGATCTGGGATCCTGACCTATGTGTACAGGCTGCTGCTTGGTGGCGGATGATCTAAACTACAAGGCAGTTCTGGGCCAGGAGAGGAGGTCTCTCTGCCTGGATGTGTGGGAACTCCCTGCCAACTTGATTGTCGGATCTGGGGGGGATCCACCCCCACCCCACAGGGAAAGCACAATCCATTTTGTGGGTGGGGTCTCAGGTGCGGCCCTCTGAAGCATGGCCACCCCTGTGGTCACCAAGACTGCCTGGAAGTTGCGTAAGTACTTTTCATGTTTCTTCATCACACTGGTTTCGTGAGCTGCTTGTTGCTGGGTAGTCCGAACCTTCAGTTTTGTCTCCTGTCCTTGGCACAGTCCTTGTGTTAAGGTAGACAGAGATATAAATCACAGTGGGCAGGTGGATTAATCCTGCTGAGGCGAGTTGCCTTATCTGTACAGCAGAGGAGTCGCACCTACGTGCTGAGATTCCAGTGAGATCGTGAACTTACTAAAGCACTTTGTAAAGGATTTCCAGGCAGGCTGATGGGCAGAGTGTTTTGAGGAAGGCTGGAAGGTGTTCTAGGATTTTCAGCTCTGTTCCAAGTCAGTTTTCCTCCACCAGATGAAAGTCTAGGGATGTGGGTGAAGGGAAGTGCCCAAAGATGCTGGCCGGGCTCTGAGTGTAATCCAACAAAAATAGTTTTGAGTTCTTTAGTCTAAACCCATTTATACTCATTTCCTTTTTTGAGATAGGGTGTCCCTACAGCCTTGGCTGGTCTGGGACATGTGCTTCTGTCCCCTGCGTGCTGGGAATAAAGGCTTGTGCCACCACACCTGGCTCTTTCATATTCCTAAAAGTTATTTTTTTTTAATAAAAACCCCTGAAGGGCTCTTGTTTATGAAAGTTATACTTATCCATACATACTGTACTAGAAAACAGTACTGCGACATATATATACTCACACCTGACAGTAGTGATGATGTCATCACATGCTGGGGGTCTTCCCAAAGACCCCGCCTCTAGAGAAATCAGAGTTCCAAAGGCCAATACCATCCTAGTGTTTAAGATAACAGTTTTGTTCTTTTGGACCCTCTAAAAGGCTCTTGAGCCCTAGCTGTGTTTGGAGGACCTGCATCTCTCTTCTGTGGGCTTCTTCCCAGCTGCAGCTGGTTGTCACAGGTTAACTGTCCCTGGTCCCACTCTGCTGTACCACCCCCGGGCTGTTTTCATGAGTGGACAAGGAGATTTGGGGCAGAGCTGTTTTCTGGGTCTCCGTTTCCTCATTTGTAAAGTGGGAGATTGGGGACCATTTTAAGTTGTTCTCTAAAGCTCTAGGGTTCTGGGAGAACCCTCTCAGTGGCACTCAGGAAAGGTATACTTTGGGTAGGTGGCTTTGTACTTATTGGCATTATGTATCCATCTCTTTGATGACTTACCCTACCTGAAGGTAGAACCAGATGCTAGGGGCAAGTGAGGGCCGTCATATCCAAGGAGCTCAGCTTGGGAGGGCAATAGGCAAGAACCAGAATTACATCCGTTTCTCGTCCTGCTCTAGTTCTGAGCTGGTATGTGTGCTTTGACTCAGTTAATTAACTGATATAGGTAGAGGGTACGTGAGCAGCAAGTGCAAAGGCCCTGATGCAGAAAGCTTTGCATATTGGAAAGACTTACAGGAGACCGTGGGGCTGTTGTATTCAGCAAGGACAGAGTGATGCCAGGTAAATCTAATGAGTTCTGCAGGGCACATGTCCACGAGACCCTTGCCATCTAAGACCCCAGGTATCCAAGTATTTAAGCAGCAGACAGAAATGTGATCAGGTATGTTGAGGAGCTGACAGTTTCCCATGCACAGAGGTTTATGGGTATATAGCCTGAGACCACACAGGCTGGGGCTTCTTGGGGCTGCAGGGTGTGGGGAGGATAAGAAGGCTCTCTGCCAGTGTGGAGTTGCTGAACCTCCCTGTCCTTTGTATCGTCCTCCCAGGATGTAGGTCCTTAGCACCTCTGGGCAGACCAAGTGATCCCCAGCTTTTGCTAAGATTTGCCAGGCTATAGTCCTGGGGCTTGGGGAGGTCCTGATGACTTATGCTGGAGGGAGGGCAGTGGCTGTCACGGGAGAGAGATACTGAAGAGTCTGATGTTTGTATGGAAACACAGCACCCATGTGTGGGCCATTGATGCTATGTTCTCCAAGCCAAGCCAGAGAGGGAGCCCCCTCTGAGGACTGTGCTGTCTTCCTGTCTGCACAGGTTTCCATCAGCCCCTGCTTAAAAGGGAATCATCATACACGCACCCCCTGCCTGTGACTCCTCCAGCTCCAGGCCCTGCCCGGGATCCATCTGATCCCCGTGGAGCCTGAAGGCAATAAGCTGCCCTTCCACATCCTCCCAGTGCCAGGCCTAGAGCCGATGCCTGGAAGTCCTTCTGTTACACATTCATGGCTGGCTCTGGGGGTGGTCCCGAGGCTTGCTGAGGTGGGACTCAGCCTGTCCTTTCTCACTTTGCCTGGGGAAGGTGAGAACCAGGGCAGCTGCCCAGGGGTGTCTCTGACGGATTCAGGGTGTGGCTGCAGAGACAGAGCTGAGGGCTTGGGAACAGCTGCGCCGCCCTCCTGCCGGTTAGACAGATCTGGAAGGGTTTGTGTGGCTCACGCTTGTGAGCAGCTGCCCGAAGTGTGCAGAGGACAGGACTGTGGTTGAGATGGTGACCACAGCAAGACCCAACGCCCTTGGGTCCAGGCGGCAGGTCTTCCAGTACCTAGATTGGAAGTGTCTGGGCTTACAAGGAACTCTCACCCTGGTTTGGTCAGCCACTGCTTGTACCAGCTGTGCCCCTGCCAGGCCCTGAAGGGAGGAGTCATTTCAGAAGTTGCATCTTGGGTTGGGACCCTAGGTGTCTTTAGAAACCCAAACTGTCTGGGCTTTCCTGGGCCTATTTTCCAGTATCATTATGATCTGCAGCTACCCCGGCTGGGTAGAATAGGACCTAGGATGAGGGGAGGGCCCTTTACTAATAGCCATGACACCCTTCTCCATGTCGCTCAAGCCAGTCTCTAGCTGCTTTAGGGCACCCACATATTGGGGTTTCTCTTGCCTGTGTGAGAGACTGGCCCTCTCCTTTCTCCTTGTTCCCAGAGGAAGCTGGGGACAGGGACCGGCTTGCAGGCCTAGACTGTCTCTTGATTATCCACTGAGTTTGTTCTTTCTGGGCAATGAGAAGGCCCACAGTCCCTGCCTGTGTTCCCCATTCAGCCCTCCCACCACGGTCCAGGCCAGCGGCTCTGGTGGACTGTCCATAGGCCTTATCTCGCGTTCTCAGGGTCAGCTTTTCCCCACCAGCTCCTGCTGTATCTGCCATTACCCTTATGGAACTCACTCCCTGCCTACCTGGGTCCCTGATGGCCAGTCTTCAGGCTCCCTGTCAGCCCATTCCCAATGAGCCGGCCCTGGGGTCATCCTGTCCTCCAGACAAGGACCTTCTCAGAGAGGAAGAGGGACTGGTCCAAGGCCATGCAGTTGGCAGAGCTCAGATC